TTCTGAATAATTTGTAATATATAATTATTCACGGTATTTAGAAGTGCCCACGATACCGTAATATCGTAATATATCGCATTACCGAATACCGGCACAAGTCTAGTTTATTGTGAAATAACTCAAACACATATGTTTTTTTCTTTCTTTCCTCTGATAAGCATTGTTCAGGGCTGCCGTTCCCAAAAGCTTTAATGCTTTCCTATGATACTTTTGGGAAACGCAGCCCTGTTTGAAGTGAATGAACGCTCTCTGTGATGGATTGGTTCTGTCATGCAACATTTGCGTGTTTAGATGAGCAGGAAAATAGTTCTACACAATTATTAGCTAACATAGGTTATTCGTCCAATTCAATGCATATTGTACGCATTTTTTTGTTAAATAAAATCACTGGTAAATAAAACACACCTTAATATCGATATTTTTTGTTTGAGTATCGATACTCGCGTCAGTATCGATATATCGATACTTCGGATCGATACGCCCATCCCTAGTTACCATTAAGAGAAAGAGATCATGTGTGAACAGGACCTTTTCAAAAATCCCGGTAAATTTAGTTCTGGCAATCATATCGTTCGTATGGAGATGACGTGATTACTCTGAGCTGTTTACAAAGCTCCGCTGCTTTTTAATTAGTTTTTTTATGTAAATAGGTCTATGCGCTATATTGACATCTTTGACCATTGCGCCTCGCAACTTTTTGTCGCGCTTCTCCATTCATCAGAGCTGCGATGCGCGTCTCGTGTTTATAAGAGCAAAATATTCTGATTGGCTGGTAATGTTTGTTTGGTTGAGAGTGAAAGCTGTGCTCCTCTCACACCATTGGTAGGCGAACTCATGGACTCGAAAGTGATATCAACAAGTTTTTTTAAATGTAGGATTATTTTTTTCCACAGCCAAACGCTGCACGCCGGACATCCGGCAAGGTGCCAGAGAACTTTAAGCCCTGAAAATATCTCTGCGTTTGGCGGGGGGGGGGTGGGTGCAGAATTCGGCACAACACCGGCACGGTGCTGGAGAACTTTAAGCCCTGTTTATGTTATATAATATAGTTTTATATTAATCAAAGCATAAAGACATGCTCTCTTACTCTCTCTCTATATATAGATAAAATAATATATATGATAAAATATTATCTACGTAATATATTTGATTTTTACAGTAAGATATGTTCTCTCGTTTTCTCTCACTCGGATTGATTTTTACTGAGATAAATTAAGAGGGGTTTACTTCCATGGGTAAGGTTTAGCTGTTCTAGAAGTGCGGTGAAAGTGAAGTCTGGTATCTAGGTTTCCTGTGAAAGATACCACTTCACAGTGTTGGTTGTTCAAGTCTTCTGATATTTGAAAGAACAATTATACAATATTTGACATGCTCTTGATAATCTTCCTCCGAGCACAAACATGATTTCTCATGATTATCCTTAAACAACTTTTGATTGCCTGCTAAGTAAATAAAGGTGCATGCCGTGCACCATGTGCAGTTTCCTGCCAGAGAACACAACAACAACTGGTCTGACACTTTGGGAATCTAGTGACTGACCTCAGGACAGGGACTTAGTTAACCTCACAGATACCCGACTAAGACCAAGGCACAAGATGCAGAGTGAAACCTGAACTGTGTGGACAAATGCTTGAGGACATGTTTATAACCATGATTTGTGCAGTTGCAAAACTGCCATGGCTTACACATACACATAAATATTTCACTGCCACATTAAATTAAGTTCATGTGCCATGTTGTTCATTTCAAAGTAAGAGTCTCAGTTGTCAGGTCTTGGCAACATGTTGGTAACTTCGCGCTTTACGGTTATTCGCACAACACAGTAGTACACTTTCACTTAGTCTCATTTGACACTGGTAAGGGATTTTGTGGAATAGATACAGGCTTGTGATTGGAGACTGAGAAGCTGATGAAAATGGTAACACCCAGAGTATACTCTGAAAACTTTGAACAAATGTACACAATGTGCATAACAAGCTGTTCCTAGAACCGGATCATTAACATTAACTCATAATAGAAAGAACCAACATTCTTGGCATTTTATCTTTTTATTGGCACACCTCCTTGCAGAAATGCCGCGTCAGTTCACGAAGATCTCTCTCCACGAGGTGGATGAGAGAGTGCGACTCTTGGCTGAGAAGGTGTACGCTTCGGCTCTAAAGGAAGAAGACACTAAAAACACCTTGTCAATGTTCACCGTCCCTGAGGACTGTCCCATTGGCTTGCATCAGGCCAAGGAATGGGAGCTACGCAAAGAGATAGAGGAGCAGAAGTCAGAGGAATCAGTCAAGAGGTCAGTAAACTCAAATATTGTACAGGACGTAAAACCAATTAGCAATTTGCGTTAATGTGATATTGAAAATTTATTTCTTATGCTGTATGCCCCATTTTAGGAAACAGAGTTTCAAGCTAATGCGATCCCAGTCAATTTCCTTGCAAATCCCAGTTGCTCCAGAATGGGCAATGTCTGTGATTTCACCCCTGCTGACCCCGTCCTCACCTACAGGCCCCCTGTCAATCAATATCCCAGAATTCCAGAGGGTCACCATCAGTGGAGACTACTGTGCGGGGGTAGGAGGCAAATTATTTTATATATACATACACTTTAAATATCATATATTAATTATAATGGTATATAAAAAGGGATATAATAATGTGTACGGTCTATATAATAATGCATATATATATATATATCTATCTATATAATCTATATATCTATATATATATATATCTATATATCTATCTCTCTATATATATATCTATATATATATATATCTATCTATATATATATATATATATATATACATATTTACACACACACGCACACACACACACACAAGCACAGTAATATAAGGGGCAGGGCATTTAATTAGAGCCAAACAGCTATGAATTAGTGAGGCTAAAAAAAGAGTGACACTTAATGACAGTTGTCATAAACATGCATAAAAAACCTTCATATTCATGACGTGTCATGTCATGATTATGTAGGTGTCATGTCATGATTATGAAGGTGTCATGTCAGTCTTATGGACACCCCTTCAAGTAAAGTGTAACTGAGTACATACAAGTGACTCTGTTCAGTTATGATTTGCATGACCAGTTTAGGTGTTTTTTCAAAGTCAAATACTTTGAATGCGGTGGTAGATTAGTAGACTAATTTATGAAAGAAAGCATTACGAGTGAGTGTCCATGATACAGTGATTACTGTTTGGATATTCATATGTTGGAGCATGAACAGACTATTTTGTATGTGTTCACATCTGTTACTTTTAAAAGTACACTAGCAGATAGATACCCTCAAAGCTAACATTATATGGACTTTAAGTCACAAAACTTTAAACTTCTAAATTCTAATTACTATTACAGAGGTATATATACATTACACTAATACATTCATATATGGGTTTGGGGTCAGTGAGATTTAATTATTTATTTTTTAAGAATTTAAAACTTTTGATCATCAAGACGCATTAAATTGATCAAAACTGACTTCTGAACTTCTTCAAACAGTCCTGAAAAAAATTTATTATGGGTTTCACAAAAATGTTAAGGGGCACAACTGTTTTCAACATTAATAATAGTATAATTTTATATTTTATATAAAAACTGATGTTAAGAACTTTTGTTGGAGTCATGAGATTGTTTTATTGGTATATCTTTCTATGTATATGTATTTTGTTGATATAGTTATATATGGATCATTTTGGATGATTTGTAAATGTATTTGCTGTATTTAGTTTTATGTTTGAGATATATATGTGTATTTGTTTGAAAGATGTTTTTGTATCCTCGTGACATTACGTGTATTACGGTAATACATGTTTTAATGAGCATAGGTGTTTGCTTGGTAGCACATGGCACTGAGGAAGGGTTAATACCTGAAAACTTTCAGCACTTTTGCACATATTTTTGTGGCCTTTGAGAATAAGCTTTTTGGGCTGAATCTGGACGAGTGCGGATCTCTTTCATCTTTGTATCAACATTAATAATAGGAAATGTTTTTTAAGCATCAAAATGGGGGAGGGAATCCAGAAAATTCAGCTTTGCCATCACAGTAATAATTTACATTTCAAGAATATTAAAATAGAAGTTATTTTAAATTATAACATAATTTAACTAATAATATATTTCAATATTACAGCATAAGAGACTTATTTAAAAAAATCTTACCAATCCTAAACTTTTAAACTGTAGTGTATATGCTGGTGCACTCCTCGTTAATTAATCTATGATCGCTTCTGACAGATAACAGTCGAGGACTATGAGCAAGCAGCAAAAACCCTGCTGACAGCACTCTTCATCAGAGAAAAATATTCTCGGCTGGCATATCACCGCTTTCCCAGGACAACAGCCAAGTTTCTAAGGAGTGCCAATAATGAGAAATGGAGTGAGGAGGAAGAAGTGCTGCCAGGTATGTCATGGTCGGCAACAGTGCATGCAGCAATAATGCACAATTACCTGTTCAAAGACCTATAACGATAACAGCTATGAGATGAAATAAGTGTTAAATTACTGCCTCAAATCCTTAATATTCTGTCTCAAAGACTGTAGATTGTTTATTAAGTTTGGGTTGTTTGTTAAAGGGGTGGGTCAGTGTTTTTTTTCTAGGCTTGATTGTGTTTATGGGGTGCAGTCTAACATGTGTTCATGCTTCGTTTTTTTAAAAACGCATTATTTTTCACATAATTTACCTTTATTCTTCACCGCTCTGTCCCTTCTCTGATAAACGCGCTGATCATTTCCTGCTTTTATGAAGCCCCTCCCTCAGAAATACGTGATGGACTCCGATTGGTTAGCTAGTCCAGTGTGTTGTGATTGGCTAAACCGCCTCTGGAGCACGTCTAATACTTTTAGATACGCTGTTATTTGTAAATGCTACTGCTTCTGTTAGCTTTTAATATACGGTTTTATTCTGATTAAAGCTTTAATACAGTACGGCAACTGCACGCGCGTCCATGTATAACGCTTCTCATAGCTATGTGAAAATAAGTGTATAAATGGAACAGAGCTGAGCTGCTGAGCTGATGATCTGAATGTGAGAGAGAGAGAGAGAGAGAGAGAGATGCAGAGCAGGGGGACACGAGGAACAGTATAAAGAACAGATGCTTTAGAACATTGATTTTGAAACTTGTGAATCCATTAGAATCGTTAGAAGACAGAATCGCGATTCATATATGAATAGATTTTTATGTGCACCCCTAGTTTTCTCTTCCTCTTCTCTAAAGCAGCGCAGCATGGCCTCGCCCCCTTCGTTGCGTGTTCCCGGGGAGGGGTTTATCAGGGTTTGTGACGTCACTAACCCGGGAAGTAACTCGTTGTAGTCCCTACGAGACATTACACACAAACTAGCATTAAAAAAAGTGAAATCGCAATCAACCACCCCTTTAAAATTGATACTATAAACAGCCAGTCATGTTTCTATTTATGGCAGGACAGCTCTTTATGCTTTATTTCCATGGCAATAGAAACCTGCCCTGTTCCAAGTGAGGGTGAGGATCCCTACAGTATGGAAGACCTTCCACAGAATCTGAACTACTCCCTGAGGATGAAAGACGGAATCATATACGTCTATGATAATGAAGATGCCTTAAAACAGGATCAGCCAAGGAGCTTGCCATATCCTGACTTGGAAACCTTTGCTATTGACATGAGCCACGTCCTTGCCATGATTGCAGATGGGCCAACGTGAGTTTCGTTATGTTATACTTCTCCTCTGCAAAACCTCAAACCCTAACTTAAAGGAACAGTTCACCCAGAAATGAAAATTTGCTGAAAATGTACTCACGCACAGGCCATCCAAGATATAGATGAGTTTGTTTCTTCATCAGAACAGATTTGGAGAAATTTAGTATTACATCACTTGCTGACCAGTGGATCCTCTGAAGTGAATGGGTGCCGTCACAATGAGAGTCCAAACTGCTGATAAAAACACAATAATCCATTGTGGACTCCAGTCCATCAGTTAACGACTTGTGAAGCCAAAGTTACATGTTTATAAAAACAAATCCATCATTAAGGCATTTTAACTTTAAACCATTGCTTCTGGCCAAAATTCAAACCACTGCTATAGTCCGTAATCTATAATATTGCTTTCATCTGTTCCGATAAAGAAACAAACTCATCTACATCTTGGATGGCCTGAGGGTGAGTACATTTTCAGCAAATTTTTATTATACAATCTCAAAATTTATAACACTGCATTCGCCTGTTGCTAAATAATAAACAGGATAGGTGATATTCAGCAAAAAAGGAAATACATTATTTAGACATTTTCTCTTTTATAGGAAGACCTATTGTCACAGAAGGCTTAACTTCCTGATGTCCAAGTTCCATCTACATGAAATGCTGAATGAGATGGCCGAGTTAAAGGAACTGAAAAGCGTTCCTCACAGAGACTTCTACAATGTCAGAAAGGTATTTATTTATTGGTATTTACACTAATGTTTACACTACCTCCTGCATAATGGTCCTTTTCTAAATATACATATTTGTGAATATTCAGGTTGATACGCACATTCACGCAGCTGCCTGCATGAACCAGAAGCATCTACTGAAGTTTATCAAGGACACATATAAGACCGAAGCAGACCGGGTGGTGCTGGAGAAAGGCGGAAAGAAGTTCACCCTCAAACAGGTGTTTGACAATCTGAAAATGGACCCATATGATCTCACAGTAGACTCATTGGATGTACACGCGGTACGTATTTCACATGACTTAATTTGTCTACATTTTCAAGCAGAATAGATCCGTGATTAAGAAATTGCACTATTGTTTGTTACAGGGCAGACAAACGTTTCATCGTTTTGATAAATTCAATTCCAAATACAACCCAGTAGGTGCTAGTGAGCTCAGAGAGATCTACATCAAAAGCGATAACTACATCAATGGAGAATATTTTGCACGTCTCATCAAGGTAAGACTGATCAACTCACGTGCTGATTTAGCAACTAATACATAAGCTAAAATAAACTATAGTTGTCAGAGTATCCAGATTATGTTTTTTTAAGCAGGAAACAAACAAAATGTTACTGTTCTGCACAGGAGGTTGCGCATGACCTTGAAGAGAGTAAATATCAGCATGCAGAACCCCGTCTCTCAATTTACGGCCGAGCCACTGAAGAGTGGGACAACCTGTCTAAATGGTTTATCAAGCAAAAGTTGCACTCCCCTAACATGAGATGGATCATACAGGTGCCCAGGATCTAGTAAGTCCTCCTCAAATGTAACTTAACATACCAATTTAAAATAAAAATTTGTAATTGTAATATAAAATAATATGAAATTAAAAAATGTAATATATTTTTAATTAATAAGTATAATATTTAATACTTATTTTGAAATAAGAAA